TTGGAGAGGTTGCCCTGTGGGGACTCACAGTCAGGATGCGTGGAGGGCTACGCTGCTTTGTGTATGGTGGTGCATTTGGCTTGAAAGGAATAGGAGATATTTTGAAGGAAAGGAGATGTCGATTTCGGTGCTTAAATTCTCGATTATTTCCACTCTTTTTTGTTGGGTTTTAGGGAGAGATCATAGATCTTTGGAGGAAATTGTTGATTTTTTGGCCTCTTTGAAGGATTGAGTGGCTTTTTGTATCGTTCTTGGGTTCCGCTCCCCCTTGGAGTGTTTTTTTATAAAATTTTTTATTTATCAAAAAAAAATATTTCCATGTTGTCAACTATTATTTATTGTTGTATTTTTATTTGTAAGAGTGGAAAATCCTTAAAGAATAAGAGAGTGAGTTTTCATCTGTCTCAGTACTAGGTATTTCAGCTGTAAACTATCTATTTAGTGCTTCCCAAGTAGGTGGATAATAAAAAAACCAAGGCCTTTATCTTGACTATATACTCCTTTTAGCCGACTTCAACATGAAATATGGTTCTATTTTCTCTTTGAAATTCCCATTAATTTGCCTTACGGAACAAGCTGTGAAAGACCAGGGTTGCTTTGCTGCTCTACTCCACTAGCATTGAGAAGCTAACTACAAATGTACCTTGCCACTATATCTGATATGTTTCCTGCTCCATTTGACGAGAGGGAATCAATTATGCCATAATGATCCACCACAAATCTTGAATGTTATCATTGTTACTTATTCATCTAAGGGCCACAATGAATCTTGAATGGTATATCAATTCGTCAATGTAAGAAATCTAAGGCATAATATTAGGTTTTTTTCCATGACATTTGCAAGTTGTTTTCCATGAATTTGCTAGTGTATTGATTATATACTTTCATCTTTGTGTGATCATATTAAAGAAAGATAATTCAAGCTTTTTATCTTTGATTTGATAGACGTTGAAACTATAAATTTTGAAAAAATATAAGCTTGGAGGCTGGAAAAAGTAAACACATGTCAAAATGTGATGGTGTTTTGGGAAAGTGGAATCAGTTTTAGGAGCTGAAGTGTGCTTAGAAGTTTACCATTTACAACTCCAATTCCAGATCTATTAATAGTTGGCACCATGGGGGTCTGATAAAATATTAGAAGCCAACTTTATATGCACATTGGGGCAGGTATTTGGTCCTTGTAAATAATCTACCTCAATCCTTTTAATCCAATATTAAGAACGTTGATTTCCCTGTCATGTAATGTTCAAAATAAAGATCATTTAGGAAAAAAAATAAAGAAGATCATGGTACCAACATTAATGTTTGATGTAATGGATGATGTCCGTCTCTATCTGACATTAGAACATTTCAGAAATGACATTAAGCATGCTCATTTTCCTATCATGTAATGTTCAAAATAAACAAGATCACAGTACCAACATTAACGTTTGATGTAATGGATGATGTCCATCTCAGTCCAACAATAGAACATTTCAGAAATGTCATCAAGCGAGTTCATTTCCCTATCATGTAATGTTCAAATTAACAAGATCACAGTACCAACATTAGCGTTTGATGTAATGGATGATGTCTGTCTCTGTCAGCTGTTATATGAACATACTGCAAAGAATAAGATTCTGGGATCTTCATCCTAAGTGGCAAATTCCCTATTATGATTTATGCCAGAAAAACACCTACGTTTATCTCCCACATGAAGCACATTTACTTCATGAATTCTGTAGAAGGTTTCACGATCCCTTTACTCATTTACATCATTTCTGTGGCCACTTTTACATCTGCATACTTATCCACCCCCTCTATTCTCCCATTTAATTATCAGAAACCATATGTTTGAGCGGGTTTGTTCAACGAGACAAAATACAAATAACAAAGTCATCCTCTTTAGGTACACTAATGAGTAATGACTAATCGATTTTAGTTAACAAAGTGATCATTAAACTTTTTCCTCATGCCACTCTACGGAAAGCCCAGTCTAGGTCTTGCATTGTAAGATAAAGTGGGTCTATGTAGAGTGACAAATCATATTATTAGTATTGACCATTCCTTTTTGGGGGATTAATATCTAATGTGCACACATTGTCTTATTTACTGAACTGGCATGCTTCTCCATTCCTAAGATTTTCGTGGGATATTAAACTTGATATTAGTTTATTGTATTGTTATCTAGGATAATCAAGGTACACTTAAAAGCATTTTCCTCTGTTTTCTGATATACACAGGCTGAGTTAGTCTCGAAAATATTGTTTCTATAATCTCATAGCTAGGTTCTCTTATGAAATTTCTCATTTCATTTTGAAAAATTTCTCTAGTTCATTGATGGCGGCCATTACATGTTTTGTGGGACTGCAATATGGACACATTGCTCTTCATTTTAAGGTATTATAATTCTTTCTTTTCGCTTAACATATTCTATAACAGGAATTGCTTCTCAAGTCTTTTCTTAAAGGTCATTACCTAGTGTTGGCGTAGCCAATGCAGAGTGTTGAGAGGGCAGACTAGATGCAGACAAACTTTTAACATTAGCATTCTCACTCTTGAGTCTTGACAGCCCAGTAATTGTAAATTGCATCAACCAATGGCACCTAATCTTGAGTTTATTAATTTTGTTCTTTTCACTGCAGGTCACCATGCAGAGGGTGTTTTTGTGGTCTCTGTCTTCCTTTCCTCTACTGATCTTGGGATATGTCTTAGATGTCCTTGGTATACTGTTTTATGTCAGCATCTGTTTTGCAGTATAATATCTTACGAAGTTTCATTTGCTCTTCTCTAAACAATGTCTACGTTGTGCGCTTGACCGTTTAGGTGTTCCTTTTTCCAAACCACCGTACACATTGAGCTATATGTGCAGCACGGCAGGAACATCAGGATTCCTCTTAACCATTATCTTTTACATCGTAAGCTCATTCTTTTACACACTTGTATTTTGCGTAATAATAAGACTTCTGGGTAGTAATTTATTTCACTAATAAAGAAATATCTGATTTATTCAAGTGTCTAAATTAATCTTTTTGTATTTCTCTCATAAACTCGAGCTTCTCAATGAACCAGTCATAAAATGATGTTAAATGGAGTCGCACACTTTTTCTAAGGAAGATGCTATTACTTTGGAGGAAAAATAGAAGACATTTTCTTTTATCCATGTTGAACTATCTTATATTCAATCATATTTTTGTGCTTTCTTTATAGTGTTAACAACACAGTACATTTCTAACGCAAGTAGGTCAATAACTCTTATTTAAGCGTTAAGCTGCTTCTGCCATGAAACTTAACAAATCACAAAACTTGGTTTTTAATCACAAAACATGCTAATTTAAAATCTCATATTCTCCGTTCTCTTTTCTGTTATGTTGACTCTATCGCTGATTTTTTTGACCTTTTGGATTCTATTGGTCCTTAGGGTTTTTGTTCTTCGATATTAGGGACGTGTTCCCCTTTTGAATGCTTTTCTAACCCCCCCCCCAAAAAAAAAAAAAAACCATGGTATTATCATTTCTTTCTAATGCAAATGTAAATATAAATAAAAGGATGTGGGAATTCTATGCTGCTAAGGGGGAGAAAGGAAAGAAAGCATATCAAGATTGTTATCCAATCAGCTTTTTCTGCTTTATGGTTTAAGGACTGGTGCTATAGCAGCAAGACAGATTTCCGGCCGCTTTTGGTCGAACTCAAAACTCGGACGCAAATGTGTTGGAAGTGGAATTAGAATTACCGTGGTTGCAAAAATTGTCTTTCTACTCTGCATAAACTAAGATTTTGCATTAAATCTTACCAAACAAATATAGAAGGGAAAAAACAAATGGTTGAAATCAAGTTTTGTGTGTTTATTTCAAGTGTATTTGATGCAGGTTGATGTCAAACATATTGAAAATCAATGAAGCTATTGCAATGGATGGGAAAGAATGCTCTCATTATTTATATTTTGGCTGCTTGTGACCTCTTTCCAGCAGCTCTACATGGTTTCTATTGGCGTTCAGAAAACAACTTGGTAGCTCCCTCATTTCTCTCCTGCATCACAAGTTTCTATTTTATTACCTTCTCTTTATGAAAAATATTTTCTCACTTTCCTGTCAGACATTTTATCATGCAATTTCTTCTATTCAATACAAACTTATTATATTACACAAGCTAAAAATCTTTAGATTAGTAAGATGATATCTACTACAAAAACATCCTAGTTCCTAGAAACTACCATTTGTTCGTGGGTGCTTAGATATTTAGTGTTTGGCTTGCTTGCTTAGATATAGGATAGTAGGCCGTCCTCTTAAAACAAGGCTCTGAAATGCATTTTCCTTTATCTGACCATGTAGAGTTTGCTATTTTCAGTGGATGGTGCTTCGATATCATGAACTATAGGTTACAAATCATTGACCCATGCAATATCAATTTTATTTATTATTCCACTTGCTCTTAAGTCTAATCTCCATTTTGAACCATTTATTCTTTAGTAGAGCACATTTCCATCTTTGTATTTATTTTCATTATTATGGAAAAAAAGTATTTATTTATTTTTCATTAAGCCCCATTTGGATGATTGGGTTTAAAATGAAAAGATGGGGCTTCAAATCACAAATTTAATAGAAGATTTGCTATTGTAGAGAAGGATGGTAGATTAGAGGACTTTAGATGAGTGGAAGATATAATTTAGTAGGGTCTATCTATGTGTAATTAGAATCACATTGTTGGTGTGAATTTTGACTTCATTTTCTGTAATTATTCTTTAGTGCCGGTAGATATGGCTGAGTTACAGTGTAAGCCATGAAAGATACAATCAATACATCCTCCCCTTCTATAAATTATTTATTATCTTAACGTAAAAAGGCTTTCATTATAGATATTTGCTTTATCGCTTCATTTGGCGTATGGTATGCAGGTTGACAACACGGAATCAGTATTGCAGTTCATGCTTCATTCAAAGAAGTGGGGAACCCTGGCATTCGTACTGCTCGAGATTTTATTTCGGGGTCTCGTTACCGGTGTCCTCCACATGAAAGGTGTATATTTCAGACTATAGTAGTAGTTACTGACTTGCAAATTTGTTTGTTAACACCACCTTCCATAAGACACCAGTATTTCACTTGTGTGTTAGATAAGCAGGAGAAAAAGAAAAGGAAATGACTAGTTAGAAGAGAAGAAAAAATAGTTGAGGGAAGTGTATTTTGTTTAGCCATGTGTTCGTATCAGTATATTCGATAAGTATCCGAGTGTCTAATACTGTCGCAACACCTTTAGAAAAGTATATGCGCTTCCTAACTTCAAATTGACGGTTTATAAAATAAGGAATATAAGCAACATAACTGACTCGATATATATATATATAAATAAATATAAATCGTCTTTGCAATGACTTTGGGGGATTTGAACTCCCATGGAATTGATTTGAAAGTAGGAGCAACCAAGTAAAGTTTTTCAATGAAGTGATTACATTATTTACAACTGTTGTCAAACACAGCTTAGCTAGCGATGTCAAACAGGTAGATGCGAATTTTCTTTAAAAAAAAATGAATTATTATTATTATTTTGGTAAACAACGGCATAATTTTTATGAAATATAATCTTAAAATGAATTAGTTACAGAGAATTTCAGTATATTTCTAATCGATGAATGTATGAAAAATATGAGGAAATGAGATTTTTATGACCTGCTTAGTTTGTAACTATAATAATAGTTTTTTATTTTTAAAAAATTGAAATCAAAATATTGTATTAAATTTTTTTTACTTAGTTCAATTTTCAACTGGCTTTTATAGCTCTTTAAAAATTATTTTTTATTTTCTGAAGTCACAAACCAGGCCTTAACTTCTTTATATTTTGTATAAAGTAAAATGGTACTTCAACCTATTTGGCCGAATAGTTAGGCAGAGTTTACCTGGATAGCCACGTGGCAAATTTGTTGGCGACTTTTCTTCCTCTTTCCTCTCTCTCTCTCTCTCTCTCTCTCTAACATCTCACTCACCCCACACAAATTCGGCAAGAAGATGCGGGTGAAATGATTGGCTTTCGCCGACAAGATCACCCAAATCGTGCGTTTTAAATAGGTCGGTCTTTGTTCTTCCCGCCGGCGACATTTCACCACGCGCTCAAACGCGCGTGCGTGCGCTGTGCCGGCGGTCCTTTATGTCTCTGTTCTGCCCCCTCGGTGATAGTTCCGTTTAGTTTTGGTCAAATCTGGTTCGTGCCGATAAGAACAGATCCGTTCTTGTTCCGATATGTGGCCACCATTTAGAGCACATCTCTGCTCTCTGTTGTTGCGGTCCAGGTTGACCCTTTGTTTTGCCGTCGCCGGAACAGTCCTGCACCATCGCCGGCGACCTGTTCTCTCTCTGCTGGATCTCTGCGCAGACCTTGCTTCCCACTGTTTCACCGCCGTCCTTCCGCTTCAGCTCTTTGCTCAGTCCGCTACCCGCTGTCCGTCCTCTGTATACCAGTCCCTCACCGTTGCCGGAGTTTTGTTCGCCGAAGTTCTCTCCGTTTCTTCCGTCCTTTTTTGCCGGGCCGGTCTTGTCAGTCCCACCGCTCCGTCTTTTTTATAGGTTCATTGCTGGATTTTGCCTTAGAAATAGGCCAAAACCGTCGGTGACCCTTAGTATAAATGATCAATCATGACTATTTGACTAAAACTAGCAGTTGAAAGAGTGCCAGCACAAAATAATAAAATTTAAATCACAAATAGTATAATACCTGGAGCTCTAGCATCAACTGTTTAGAAAAATATTAAAAAAATAAAAATAAAAATAAAAGAAAAGAAAGTACAGTTATAAAGCTAGCAAGCAACCACTCTATTCATTTGAATCACTTGTACGTATGGCGAGTACAAGTTCCACGTTTCCTCAATCCAAACACCACTTACCCCTCTCGTATTCCTCAACCCCAACAACAAAAACAATCTTCTTCTTACCAATTCCTTCTGCTCCAACCCTTCTTCCCAAAACACTCGCTGTTTCTCGCACAACTTCAGAACACTTCCTCTCTAAATCAGAATCAGAATCAGAATCAGAGTCAAAATCAAAATCAAAATCAAAATCAAATGGTCGCCTCATTGTTTCTCGTCTCAATGATTGTTCAATCGATGGTTCAACCAAAGAAAATAGCCCCCAAGTTGAAGTCAAAACCTGGTAACACTAACACCACCACCTTAAACTGTATTGTCCAATTGATTTCGAATGATGATTCATTGAGTAGCAATCTTATCTGTGGGTTTTGTCTTTGAGTTTGTGTTACTTAAATTTGCTGTAAAGTGAAGTTAAATGATGAGTCAAATTATGGTGAATGTATGGTATGCATAACCTAGTTTTGTTGGGAGTGAAAAGGGTTTATTGGGCTGATTACAAGAATTTTACGCTAAACATTTTGCCTACTTTTCTTTTCTTTGCATTGTGTGATTATAGATTTCCTAGCCCGATTCTCTACCACGCAGGATTACCGGTGTAGAAAAATTTGAAGTCCTACACTCTGTTTGTTTGGATAGAAAATTTGTATATTTTACTTTTTAGTGTTTTGTTGTTGTGAAATAAAACTTAACAAAAAAAACTTACCAATCATTTTCGGCACATTATTTTACGTGCAACACCCAATGAACTTGATGGGGCCAAATACCAAAAAATAAAATATATATATATTTTATCTAAAAGGGAAAATATTTTTCGAGGAAGATAATTTATGTCAAATGACCAGCAGGAGTGGAATTCATATCAGTTTTTGTTCTACACCCATTTGCTTTTGCAACAACATATCATCAGCAAATCATATTTGCTTTTATAATTATTTATAAGTCGTGTCTTTAGAATTTGAGTATCATTTGTATGAGGGATGATACAAATTCAACTCACCTAACATCTTCTCAAAGGAACTATAATATTCGCCCAAGACTTACTTAGTACAAACTTTCTTTACCCAAGAATTTTACCAGGTTCCAAATATAGGGCGAGTGTAACGGTTGGGCACTTGCCCTTTGACTCAACAGCTTGAGCTGTTGGTCAGTGCTGCATATTCACTCATATATGCCCAAATCTTTCTCCATCCGGATCTGATGTGGGACAACCCCCTTTAACGGTAAGCCACTATGGAATGGCAACTAATAATACCCAGTTGATATTACAAATCACAGATGGGGTGTGTAAAACAATCTTTACGCAACTGGTTTGGAATGGTGGCAGGCCGCGGTGATCAGTTCATGGTACTCTTGTTTTACAGAATGCAGTGCTGACTGGATCTAATCTTCAGAGGAGAGGGATTTCACTTGCCTCTTGGTGCTGTCTCTGTTGCAATTTTGAAGAATCTGTCACGCATTTATTTGTGGATTGTAGTTTCTCTTGTTAGCTTTGGTGTGATCTTGCTGATATGTTCAAATGGAGGATTAACAAACTACTTTCTGTTTGTGAATTTGCAATGGAGTTGGCTCATCAATTCGCAGCTACATCAGTGAGGAATAAAGTTTGCAAAGCCCTTTTTTCTGCCACTTCGTATTTTATATGGAGTGAAAGGAATGGAAGGGTATATAATGATGTTGTTAGGAGCTGTAGATCTCTTTTGAAATGTATTGCTTGGGAGGTTTTGGATGTCTTGGGAATTTCTCTCCAAGATGTCCTTTCCTAAGTTTTTGTTGTCTGGTTGGATAGGGGTTTCCCTATTCTTCTTGTTTAATCCTGTAAAGGGAGTTCTTGTGCAGTGGGGGTATGCCTTCACTTCTTGCTTGTACTATAATGTTTTATCTATAAATTTTTCTTCATTTAGGAAAAAAAAAAAATTGATCAATTTCACACTGGTGATATTGAATTAATTCTGTTTCCGGGTGAGGTTTTTTTTTTCTGTTGAAGTATTTTCTCCTTTGGTCAGTTGTACAAACAGAACTATTATAATTTACACCACCATCAATTACCTTTCTTTAATTTCAATACATAATCAAGGATGGACTTGCTTCAGAGCAAAAGAAAGAAAGTGAAAGGAAAAAAGAGCATGTTATTCATTGTTTCAGCTTTTAACATTGACATTGGTTGGAGACTTTTAGCATCTGTGATCAATGATTCAATCTGGTTTTTGATCCAATTAAATGTCGGCTAATATTCCAATATGGAAGACAAATGTACAAAACACGTTACTATGAAAAATAACAAACATTCAGAATAAAGCGGAAAATCTATAAAATTGGACAATAAGTGTGTTACCATGTTGATCTATCACACAATTAAAGACTGTATACTATCTCAAAAGAGTTAACAATGATAAAAACGACTACCTTGAAAGATTGCAGGAATAACATAATAGAAAAACTAACTACGATCTTTGTGTCCTGCATCATTCTTACATTTTTCATTTCATTTACTTGTGCAATATTTTTGGATGAGAGTTTTTCCTAAGGTGAATGTTAATTCAATGAGAATTCGATCATTGAATTGTTTTTTCTCAAATATCTTCTCCTATTGCACCAGTTAGGAAGAGAGACATGGTCTCACTTTGAAAGTAATGCTAGCGGATAGGGATGACCAAAATTAACAAAAATAGACTAAAGAAAGACATGATAACATGTGATTTGACTAGGACTATTGCCTCAGATAGTGAAAAATTAAAAAATATGATTCTTGTAGCCGACCATAAGCAACTGGAAAAAGGCTTTGTTGTGTTGCGTTGAGAGGGTATGGTTCATGTCCCTTATAATGCACTAATGAGTCACAATCCTAGTACCAGGGATTTTATATTTTTTGAGCCATTTTTTTTTTTTTTTCATATTCGTAACAACACTGAATTGCTAATATGGAAGATGAATTTTAGTTTTTTCAAACAAATGTGTTATTAAAGGTTTTTATAACACTTCAAATTTATTTAGCCGGAGTCGTCCTTTAGTTCATGTCCCTAATTTATAATGCACTAATGTGTCATAGTCTCCATATTAGGGAGTTTATTTTAATCGAAGTAGCTTACAAGAATTGCATCTTGTTTTCATAACTCAGAACTTGAAGTTGGAGATGAAGATGGAGATAGATATAGATGTATGTATAGATATAATAATATGAAGGTATATAAGTAAATTCATCATTTTTATGTACACTATTATATATATATATATATATATTATTTATATGGGTATTTTGGTCATTTATCATAGAAAATTGAGAGTATTTCAGTAATTTTGACAGGTCCGTTAGTGTATTTAAGGGTCCGTCACATATAAGGGAGGTCCGTGTAGGATATTTTCATACTTAGGAGAGGTCCGATTAATTTCCAAATTCCAGGGGAGGTCCCTATAATTATGACAAACCATAGGGGAAGTTTGTGTAAATTACCCATATATATACTAGCAAAATTTATGTGCGATGTACGTGCTGAATTAATTATTAAATAATATAAATATAATAATGATGTAGAACTGAGAAGCTTTATGCCCCATTTGGAGAAAAAACTACTAAATAAATATAAGACATATAAAAAAAGGCATACATGTAGATAGCCCAAGCTTTGCAACTCTTCCATCCAAGCCCATGGTAAACACTCGAGGACTTATACAACAAAAACGCAATTAGCCAAAAAAAGAAGCAAAATAAGAAACTTCTTTTTACATAATATGAAAATATATGAACAATTATAAAATAGAGTCGTAATTTACTTAAAAAATTATTCTATACTATAGACATTGTTGATCCACAATGCAAAGACACTTTATTAACCATTCTAGCTACCTTATAATATATATATTCATGAAGAAACCTTCAAACCTATATGCATTTAGAAATATACAGAAAATACAGATTTCATAGAAAAGTATGAGCCTATGAGAACATTAGTTTTTCTCAGAACATCAATTGCTTCAGGGGCCATGTTTGAACCTAAGGGACATATTGTGATATATTAATAATAACAATGAAACAATAAAAGCTATAAGAATTTGGCAATGAGCGTGTTACATGGTCGGGCTTGCTTCGCCGGAGGAAGAGCCATCACCACGTGGCAAGTCCTAAGGTTTTGATGGCGAGATTCGAGAGCTTTAGGCATAACAAGGGAACAGAGACACAAATGTATGATACACACACACACACAGAATAAAGGTATTGATTTGAAGCTTTTGAGACGCAGATCTGAACATAGAGAAAGCGATGAGAGAGAGAAACTGTGTATATATGGAAATACGCAGGTTAGAATTAGAATTAAGCCCTGAACATGAAAAGGAAACTGGCGCATTCCGATCACATGCAACCCAAGTTAGAATTTAGAGTAAATAACTACACTAAAAACAATTAACCAATATATATATTAGCAAAATTTACGTACGATGCACGTGCAGAATTAATTATTGAATAATATAAATAAAATAATGATGTAGAATTGATTACTGAAGTCTTTATGCCCCATTTGGATAGCCAGGGGCCCAAACGGACATATAGACAGATTTTCTAGGTTGATCCCGAATTGTGCATTTTTGACTCGATATGAGGTTTTTTTTTTATTTTTTTATTTTTTTTATTTTTTATTATTTTTTTTTACTGAAAAAACCCAACCAACAAAACTCACCGCTATGCTACTTAGAACGATCATATCATATCAGAAAAGCATGAGAGCTTTTTAATTCTGCTAAGAGCAATGAGCTTTTCTAATCAACATCTGCATCTAAAGATAAAGATTTTCAGGCAAATTAAGATTAGACGTAGTTGTTAGCATACAAACACTTCTCATCTTTGAAAATTCTTTTTCCTGTTTCCAAATGCCACAAAAACACAAACAAAACTGTTGCCAAACACCTCAGTTCCTTTCATTAATGGCCTGTACTGTCACTCAACATAAAACAATAAGTCCAACGCAGATCTAAAAACATAGAGAGAGAGAAAGAGATCTAAAAACACATGTGAACAGATACGCAGATCTAAAAACATAGAGAGAGAGAGAGAGAGAGAGAGAGAGAGCGAAACGTTCAGCTTACCAAGGTTGGCAACTAGTGGAGTCTCATCGGTCGGATCATAGGCTAAAACAATATAGTCTTGAAACACTTTCTCCACCTTTTTTGGGCACCATGGTATAGCCGGAGATTTAGCAGGAGTAGGAGTAGGAGAATCCTCAGTCATGAACTCCAGCAACTCGAAAGCATTTGTGAATTCCAGAGGTGAAAGAGATTTGGTGTAAAACGCCATTAGAGAGGAGAGATTGAGTTTGAGATCAAAATCAGATGAGTTTGAGAGAGATGAGAGAGAGGGGGTAGATGAGTGAGAAACTGTGTATATATAGAATTGTGCTGATTAGAATTAGAATTAAGCGCTGATCATTAAAAGGAAACTAACGCATACCTATTACATGTAGCGCAAGTTAGAATTTGGAATAAATTACTACACTAAAAACAAACAACCAATATATATACTAACAAAATTTACGTGCAATGCACGTGATGAATTAATTATTGAATAATATAAATATAATGATGTAAAACTGATTGCTGAAGCCTTTATGCCCTATTTAGAGAAAAACTACTGAAGAAACATAAGACATACAAGAAAAGGCATACATGTAGATAGTATCTAATATATATATTCATGATTGCCTTTATTATTATTATTATTATTATTTTTATTATTATCTATGCAACTCTTCCATCCAAGCCCATGGTAAACAGTTAAGGACCTTTACAAAAAAAAATAATAATAATAATTATAAAAAAGGCAATCAGCTAATAAAAGAAGCAAAATATGGAACTTCTTTTCACATAATATGAAAATGCATGAATAATTATAAAATAGAGCATTAATTTAGTTACAAAATTATTCTGTACTATAGACATTACTGATCCACAATGCAAAGACACTTCATTAACCATTCTAGCTACCTTCTAATATATATATTCATGAAGAAACTTTTAAAGCCTATGTGCATGTAGAAATATTCAGAAAATACAGATTTCAACAGAAAAGAATGGGCTTATGAGAACATTAGCTTTTCTCAGAACATCAACTGCTTTAGGGGGGTACTGGGCATGTTTGACCTAAGGGATATATTGTGATATAGTAATAATAAAAATGAAATAATAAAAACTATAAGAGTCCAGTGATGAGCGTGTCACCGTTGTCGGGCTTGCTTTGCCGGAAGAAGAGCCACCACCACGTGCCGAAACCTGAGGCGTTGATGGTAAGATCCGAGAGCTTTAGGCAGAACAAGCGAACAGAGACACAAATATATGACATAGACACAGACACACACACACACACACACACACATAGAGAGAGAATAAAGGTATTGATTTGAAGCTTTTGAGACGCAGATCTAAACACACAGAGAGAGAGAGAGAGCGATGAAAGAGAAACTGTGTATCTATAGAACTGCGCAGGTTAGAATTAGAATTAAGCCCTGAACATGAAAAGGAAATTGATGCAAATAACCAATATATATACTAGCAAAGTTAGAATTTGAAGTATATTACTACACTAAAAACAAATAACCAATATATATACTAGCAAAATTTATGTGCCGATGTACGTGCAGAATTAATTATTGAATAATATAAATAAAATAATGATGTACAACTGATTGCTGAAACCTTTATACCCCATTTGGATAGCCATTGCCCAAACGGTTGACAGATTTTTTAGGTTGATCCCAAATTCTGCATTTTTTACCCAACATGAGAGTTTTTTACTCGAAACGGCCCAACGAACCAAACTCATTGCTATGCAGCTTAGAATGATAATATCATATCAAAAAAATTATGAGAGCTTATTAATTCCGCAAGAGCAATGAGCTCCTCCAATTAACATCTGCATTTGAAGATAAAGATTTTCAGGCAAATTTATGTGAAGTTTAGCTATT